TAATGTCCTCCAGGTTCATACATGTTGTTAAATATCATCCTTCTAAATGCTCTTTTATTTCTACCTCCAGCAGTAAAGCTTCTGAAAAAGATAAAATGTTATTGCGACTGTTATTAAAAACTAATACAAATGCTCCACTATAACTGTACTCAGTTCAAGTCAGAGGTCACTTTGTACTGGCATTGTCAAAAAATTTTTCCACCAAACAGACTGTAGTATAAAGTTTATTCTCATGTGTTCCCCTTTTCCTCTGCCCAGTTACTTTTTTTTTTTTTCCTCACTAAGAAAACCATAAAAGCAATGAAGGCAAATTCTGTCCAGAAAGCAATCAGAGCAGAAAAAGAACTTCAAGCCCAGGGGTGTTTTCATGGCAAAGAGTTGACATGTGGGTTGCAGGTTATAGAAGACTAAATAAGCTGGCCCAGAAAAGAGCTGGGACCCAGGTGGGAGAGTGACAAGATAAGAGGAAGGGAGGCTCTTGGGATTTGGGCCCATATATGAATTGTTCAGGGCTTGCTTTGTTTTTATATGACTATAAATGTTAGAAGGCATTTTATGAAGTTAATATAATCCTGTTTGAGCTGTATACCTTTAAATATGGCAACATCTGACATAAGCATATAATGAGTAGGAATGTGGGTTTAGGAGTTGCCATGTCTTGGTAAACACTGCAGACGCAAACAAACACAGCATATTCTGGTTTTATGGATGAAAAACACTAAGGAATATTCTAAACCCATGGTCTTGTTTTGAAATAATATAGAGTAGATCAGTTATGTTGTCTTAATGCTTATGATATGTTAGATGGGGGGGGACAGTTGGTTTGGTATCAGGCTTAAAGAATTATTGTCTATGAAGTTCCTGAAAGAGTGTATGGCATGTAATACATGCTAAATAGATGCTAATCACTGTAGTTTATTTCTATGGAATTGCATAATTGACATGTAATATGTGTTTGTGGAAAGTGAAACTTAAATTTTCTTGCAACATTACATTTACTAGTGATGTTTAAACAATTCATAACTTTATATCACAATTATCATACAAAGTCTTCTATATAGGCAACTGTGCAGTCCAGGATAATAACACTATTTACATGCATTTAATATTTTATGGTTTACAGAAGTAACTCTCTCTCTCTCTCTCTCTCTCTATATATATATATATATATATATATATTCACACAACACACACACACAGAGATGTGTGTGTTTGTGTGTGTGTGTGTGTGTGTAGAGTGTTAAAAGTTTCATCCCAGGATTTTTTTTTGTGTGTATTTGAGAAAGAGAATAAGACATAGGTTCATAATGCTACTCCAGTAATGTCTTGTCTCATTGGTTACTTCAAGATTAATCTTGATTATTTCAAGAAACACTGACGGAAATACTATCTGTGAAACTAAGGCAGGCATGTAGCCGTTTACCGGTCCCTAGTTTTCTCTGGAGGTGGGGGATACATGGGTAAGCGCTGAATTCTGTGGTGGGAGAAAAGAGTTAGGTACAAGTCCATTTCTCAACATACTCTATGTGAAATGCATTGCCAAGAGAAGAATCATTACCAGTTAAATTATCTCAGACTGACTTCACCATTTGATAACTCCATAAACTTTGGAGTATCTAGGTGTTTTTTGAGATTTTATGAGAGGAGGTCTTCATAAATCCATTGTTTTACTTTTGAGGATTTGTGGAAAAACCAACTTTGCATTTTAAAAGAGTTCATCACTCAACACAAAAAAAGAAGACTGCAGGCCAATCTCCCTAATGAACACTGACTGAAAAATCCTCAATAAAATTTTAGCTATCAGAATCCAACAATGTATCCATAAGATAATTCACCACCACCAAGTAGGATTCATTCTAGGGACACAAGGATGGTTCAACATCCGAAAATAAATCATTATCCAACACATCAACAAAAAGAAATATAAAAACCATATGATAATATCAATACATGCCGAGAAAACTTTCAACAAAGTGCAACACCCATTCATGATAAAAGCCCTTGAAATTCTTGGGATACAAGGAACATACCTCAACATCATAAAGGCCATATATAACAAGCCAACAGCCAGTATCATTCTCAGTGGCAAAAAGATGAAAGCATTCCCATTAAGATCTGGAACTACGGGCCTCCCTGGTGGCGCAGTGGTGGAGCGCTGGGTTGCGAAGCTGCCCGCAGCCTCTGCAGCACCGGTTCGATCCCCGGCTGCTCCCCGGCCACTGGAGGAGGGTCCCACATGGCACGCAGATCTCTCCTGCCGCCTGCTGCTCCCCTCAGCAGTATACTTTGTCAGTCTGCCTGATCTGCTCTTCTCTCTGACTCTGGTGAATTCTCTCACCTTCCCGCTCTTCTGACTATACCCAGTACTTATAAAATAAATAAATAAATAAATAAATAAATAAATGAATAAATAAATAAATCTTTGAAAAAAAAGAAAAGATCTGGAACAAGACAAGGATGTCCACATTCACCACTGTTTTTCAATATAATGCTGGAAGTCCTAGCAAGAGCAGTAAGACAAGATAAAGACATACGAGAAATCCAAATAGGAAAAGAAGTCAAACCATCACTATTTGCAGATGATATGATAATATACATAGAGAACCCCAAAAACTCCACAGAAAAACTAATTCAACTAATCAATTAGTTCAGTAAAGTGGCAGGATACAAAATCAACACACAAAAATCAGTAGCCTTCCTATATACAAACAATAAATCTGAAGAAGAAGAAATCAACAAAAAAATCCCTTTTATTATCGAAACAAAAAAAATCAAATACTTGGAAATAAATCTAACAAAAGAGGTAAAGGACCTATACAAAGAAAACTATAAAACACTGTTAAAAGAAATAGAAGAAGACACAAAGAAATGGAAAGACATCCCCTGCTCATGGATTGGAAGAATAAACATTATTAAAATGGCCATCCTACCAAAAGCAATATACAGATTCAATGCTATCCCAATAAAAATTTCGATGTCATTCTTCAAAGAAATAGAACAATTATTGTTGAAATTCATATAGAATCACTAAGAACCCTTAATAGCCAAAACTCTCCTGAAAAAAAAAAAAAAAAAGAAGGGAATGGAGGCATCACACTCCCAGACTTCAAACTGTACTACAAAGCCATAATCATCAAAACTGCATGGTATTGGAACAAGAACAGACATACAGACCAATGGAATCGAATAGAAAATCCAGAAATAAACCCACAGATTTATGGTCAACTAATCTTTGACAAAGGAGCAAATAATATGCATTAGAGCAAAGAAAGTTTGTTCAATAAATGGTGCTGGGAAATCTGGGTTGCTACATGCAAAAGAATGAAGCTTTACTACTACTACCATACACAAAAACCAACTCAAAATGGATTAAAGAACTAGACATAAGACCTGAAACCATAAAATACATAGAAGGAAATATAGGTGAAACACTACATGATATGCACATCAAAGACATCTTTACAGACACATCACCCAAAGCAGTGATAGCGAAGGCAAAGATAAACAGCTGGGACTACATCAAATGAAAGAGTTTCTGCACAGCAAAAGAGACAATAACAAAAACAAAGAGAAAACCCACCGACTGGGAGAACATTTTTGCACACAACACTAATGATAAAGGACTGATCACAAAAATCTACAAAGAGCTGATGAGACTCAACAAAAACAAAGAAAAAAATCCATTCAAAAAATGGGCAGAAGAGCTAAAAAGAAACTTCTCTGAAGAGGAAATGCAAATGGCCAACAGGCATATGAAAAAATGTTCAACATCACTTGTCATCAGGGAAATGCAAATCAAAACTACCATGAGATACCATCTCACACCAGTGAGAATGGCACATATTAAAAAAACTAGCAACAACAAATGTTGGTGAGGTTGTAAAGAAAAAGGAACTCTCCTGCACTGTTGGTGGGAGTGCAAACTGGCCCAACTGTTATGGAGAGCTGTGTGGAGATTTCTTTTTTTTTATTTTTTTTAATAATAAATTTTATTTTTATATTCCCCATACAATTGCAGCCCCCCCATTCTGACCCCAATCCCTCCCCTCCCACCCCCGCCCCCCTAAAAGTGTCTCTGTTCGTAGTTTTTTGTTGATTTTGATTTTCACTTTCTTATAGTTATTCGTTTTCCTGGTCCCTTATTTAAGTTTTCTAGATTCCTGCTATGAGTGAGACCATCCGGTATTTTTCTTTTTCTTTTTGGCTTATTTCGCTGAGCATGATCCCTTCCAGTGCCATCCATGTTGCTGCAAATTGCATGTGTTTATCTTTTTTGAATGCTGAGTAATATTCCATGGTATATATGTACCACATCTTCTTGATCCAGTCATCTATTTTTGGGCATTTGGGTTGTTTCCAAAGCTTAGCTATTGTAAACAGTGCTGCTATAAACATAGGGGTGCAGGTGTTCTTTGGAATTGATGTTTCTAAGATTTCTTGACCTTAAACATAGAGCTTCCATATGATCCAGCAATTCCACTCCTAGGTACTTACCTAAAGGACACAGAAACATCAATTCCAAAGAGCACCTGCACCCCTATGTTTGTAGTAGCACTGTTTACAATAGCTAAGCTTTGGAAACAACCCAAATGCCCAAAAATAGATGACTGGATCAAGAAGATATGGTATATATACACCATGGAATATTACTCAGCATTCAAAAAAGATAAACACATGCAATTTGCAGCAACATGGATGGTGCTGGAAGGGATCATGCTCAGCGAAATAAGCCAGAAAGAAAAAGAAAATTACTGGATGGTCTCACTCATAGCAGGAATCTAGAAAACTTAAATAAGGGACCAGGAAAAAGAATAACTATAAGAAAGTAAAAATCAAAATCAACAAACAACTATGAACCAGAGACACTCTATGGGGTTGGGGGGCGGGGAAAGAAAGGATTGGGGTCAAAATAAGGGGGTTGCAATTGTATGGGGAATATAAAAATAAAATTAAAATTAAAAAAAAAATGAAAGAGTTCATCACTGATTTTGGGACTTTACCTTTAATGGTTGCTGAAAATAATCCTTTCATGGATCTTAGTTTGAATGGCTCCTTCATGTTTCTATTTCAGAGATATAAAGGAGAAGGGATGGCAAATCATATTTTGAATGGTTTGCATATTGCAACTTAAGCATCCAAAGGTTTAAGCAAAATATATTAATAATCCTTCTAAATATTAATATTACCTGCAGCAGAAACTACCTAGAACATTCATATTCATTTAAGATAATTTCTGTTAGATTATGAATAATGTAATCATTTTGGTTATCATTAAAATGATCATTAAATTTATTAACAATTTTGATAAATCAGTATTTACCTATTGTAGGAAGTCAAATGAAAATATATAAAGCATTTTCACAATGAAATTAATATAAAACAATATGTATAATTTTTAATTACTGGTATATTAAATCAGTAATGTCTTGGCCAAGTTTAATTATAAGTAGCACACTTCAAAATAGCTTAAGAAAGAGAGTCCTGGGAGAGATACAGGAGTGTAGGCCTTATAAGGAGTGGAAGCAACCAAGATCTCATGTAGTATTTTCTTTCACATTCACTCTATACTTCTTTTTTTTTTCATCTTCTCATTTTTTTCTGTTGACATATTTAGCATATATGCACAGTCTAATGATTTCTAGTTTACATTTCTTAGTTTATGAGGAAAACCTAGAGTTATTCTCACTTTGAAATTTTCAAGAAAGGTTACCAGTTGTTCCATCATGTCATGTGTCCACTCTGTTGCACTTAGCTATGTAGGGCAACTGTCATTAAAGCTCCAAGTACGTTGTTCATGGTGGAGTCTGTGACTGTAACTCATATATATGTTATCATTGGAGCTCAATTAAGACTTAAGTGGGAATACCCCTGGGGCTATGCAAAGTGAGAGTCCTACAGCTGAAACTGGGGGCCTTGTCTGCTACCAAGCAAAAAAAGATAGCAGGCAATTCCAATCTTTGTTTCCTACAACAATGTAAAATTAAAACAAGTACCCAAATATTCTTACTCTAACTTTAGGAGTGTAGGTAGACATAAGCAGATTTGCTCAATTATGAAAGTCACCGTATCTCTTCTCATCACTAAATTACACATTTTGTATTTATTAAAATAAGATAATAAATCATAGCCCGTTAGAGGTGAAAGAAACTTGAAAATATTCTAGTCTATTTCCCTCATTTGACATAAGAGGAAAGACTCAATTAGAAAGAGGACATGACCAAGTTTGCACAGCTCATTAACTGCAAAGCTAGAATTAGAAGCTGCTTCTCCTCAATCCTGGAGAATATGAGTGGACTGTTGCCTTTGAAACATTGGCCCAGAAGTCTGGTATCACATTAACTTGCTTGGTTTACTTTTTGGAGATAATCCAGACCTGGTTATAAACAAGAATTGCTCTTTAATTGGAGTGTTCTGGTTTATGCCTGTTGCCTGTAAAACAGTCTGCCTTTCAGGGTTCCCTGACAATCTTTTAGTAAGAAATACCCTTCCCTTCACATTCTCAATGTTTGATCTCTTGTGAACTGGGTTGAATAGTGTCCTCCAAAAGTTCATGCTTACCCAGAACCTGGGGTATAGTCTTATTTGGAAATAGTCTCTGCAGATGTAGTCAAGTTAAGATGAAGTTATACTATCTAAGAATGGGCCCCAATCCAAATGACTGGTGCCTTTTATAAAAAGTGATAAATTTGGAGAAGATACAAACAGATACCATCATCATGGTATCACATGGTATTTTCCTAAAGTAAGGCAAAGGATGAACACCAGGGATTACAGATAACTGTCAAATATTAAGAGAGAGGCTTGGGATAGATTCTCCTTCAGAGCCCCGAGAAGAAATTAAATTTATGATCTCCAGAACTCAGAGAGAAAACATTTTGTTGTTCTAAGCCACCTTTTTGTGATAGTTTTATTTTGACTGCTAGAGGAAATTGTTACCCTGATATCATTGTACATGTATAACTTTGCTACAGATTGATATTTGGAATTTGGGCAAAACAAGCAGAGTTATTTAATATAGGTGTATGCAAGGCAGCCCTCTGAATTTTTTTAAGCAGCAATCTAAACAAGATAGGGGCAGCTCTTTATACCTTTTCAGCATTTTTGGAATGACAGGAAAACTTGTGAAGAATGACAGGATCAAACTGTCTTCACTAGAAAACTAGGCATCGTCAGGTCTTAGAGGTGTTAGTTCATCTCTGTATTTCACTGTACAATTCTGAAAGTTGTAGAAAATTAATACTAATGTAGATAATTCTTGTGCATAGCTACACAAACATATATGTTCGGGGGAGAGTGCAGTTGTCAAATTTTTCATCATCCATTTGTAAATTCATTTTACATTCTTTTAAAATTATTTCTTTATATCATTTTATATCATTGCTCATTTCTGTACTTGATTGCCAATATATGTATGATGCTTTGAATCAGCCTTGGAACTGGGGGTAAAGTCTTACTGGTTTCCTCATTAACTGAATTAAATCTTTTACATATTCTCATTTTATGTTTTCATAAGGGTCATTGATTTGCTCTGTAAAAATATATCCTTTAACAATAATCTCGACTTCATTCAAATAGAATTCTTAATTTTGAGAACCTCCTTTAGAACTCAAGGGAAAGAATCAGGAGGACATAATTTCTTCTATCTTAAAGGTAGAACTTCCTAAATTTCCAAAATCATCTTTATAATATTCCGAATTCTTGACTCCTTCAAGCTAATGGGCATTATAGATGACAAAAAGAACAGAGGCATTTTTGAGATGTACTGTGAAAAATTAGTCAAAATGCTATGTTTGTCTCTGGATCAGTGCAATGTACACAACAAGAGATCACCGTTATACGTTGCTTTCCATGTACCTTGGCTAAAAAACAGCTTCCAAGACCTAGCACAACCCCAACATAAGTTGACAACAGGAACTTAAGTCTAATTTTCAAAGCTTCTCCAGTGATGTGAAACAACTTTGATAGGATAATTGATACTGACCTTTAAATTCTTAAAAATCGGGATGATGATCACACTAGCATGAAAAGTGAGGCAGTGATGAGGTTAAATCTCCGTGACAATGTCATGTCCAACTGGGACAAGAGAAACAAGAGGATTCAGAGAGCTTGGGAGGTGCGGAGGAAAGGCAGCATGCCAGATGAGCCCTGGGCAGAATGGAGTCTATTTTACAGAACATAAGGAAAAGTAACGACCCATAAAAACTCCTGGTTACTGTTCTAATACAGGAGGGGCCTGGGGAGAAAATAGTACATTTCTTTGCAGCCTGGGCTACCCCAGAGTTTTGGGGTTTTTTTATAGATTCTTGTCATGCTGAGCTGCAGAATCAAGAGTCTGAGTTGGAAGTTGACTCAGATTTTAGACTCTGGATATGTTTAGAGTTTAAGTTTCTATTCTCCTTCCTTGATTTGTTGTTTTGATGCAACAGACTTAAAGCATAACGGCTTATGGTGGTTAATATCCTGCCCCCGTGTAGTCACATTTCTAACATGATAGAATTTATTTCAAGTTCTTGTGTTTTGGGGTCCCTGAGGACTTTGTTCCTCAGTTCAAAATGGCTGGTTTTTTGGCTGACATGAGGGCCTAAGATGTCTGCACTCCCCCTGAGACTCCTCCTGCCAGATCACATCTCAGCTAGCATCATCTTTGTCTTTTTCAGCTCCTCAGGTGGCTGAAATTTTCACAGCTTGTTAGGTGGCACTGGCTTTCACAGTTTGTGGCCCTGAATGACTGCTAGGGGAACAACACTTTCACTCCCTCCCAAAGCCAAACTTCACAGTGGAAATGTGTGAGTTGTGCCAATAGCCTCCCAGAAATCCTGCAGTTGTGGCAGATGTAAGCTAACTCAGCATGGAGATGAAGATTTCTTCCAGATTGGGAATTGATGTCCCAAACAGAAAGTGAATTGTACTGACTTTGTTCTCAAGTAAGTTGTGACAAGAGGAAATAAGAGCAATACCACATAAAATGGCTGGCAAAATAAACAGCAAACAGCATTATATGTGGAATATTGGTCCCTGTATAACTTTTTTTCTTTTAATAGTTGTTAATATGGCCAAGATGGTGAAATGTATTTAATAGAGGCTTCCCTTGATATAGAACTATTTTCGGGAGCCAGGAAAAAAGCAGGGTTTTATCAGGAAGACGGTAATAAGCAGGAATTGAAATGTTTTCATTTGGATCCTAAGTGGTGCCTGAGGTAAAATTGCACAATGTTAAAGCAACAATAATTGGTTCCTCCTGGCTTTCCCCATTGAAGGAAATTGAAATTCAATTGAATAGTCATGGCATTCCAATTGTCATTGCTCTGACTTTGTGTTTGTCTATCCCAAGAATGGTATGGGAGCCAAAAAAGAAAAGGTTCTGAGACAGCTGGGGAAATTGTACAATTATTTTAGGACAGAATGGAAGGGAATGGGGTATTCCAAATATGTGAAGAAATTTCAGTGTACCTCAGAACCCATGACTGAGATGTTGCCAATATCACTGTCAGTTTAGAAATAGTTATAAGTGGGATGTAATTTTTCCCATGGGATGATTATTTTTTAAAGATTTTTATTTATGGATGCAAGCAAGAACTGGGGACTAGGCCAGTGGTGCAGGGGTTGAGAGGATTCACCAGAGACAGAGTGGGGAGCAGAACAGGCAGGCTGACTGAAATGCAATGCTGAGGGGAGCAGCAGGTGAGACAAGAGAGGCCTGCTGTGCCATGTATCTTAGCTCCCTGGCTGGGGATCAAACTCACGACAGAGTGGCTGGTGTTAGCTTGATACTGCGGAGACCCAACCCCTGTGCCACCAGGGAGGCCCAGCATGGGATGATTATTGATGGCAAAGCAAAGTTGAATAAAAAGAGATTAAATTGAAAATGGGAGATAGACCTTGAGTTTTTTTATGGATCTAGATGAGGTTAAGTTGTGTTGCAAGATGCCATCATAAAAGTTACAAAGCTAATATTTAAGTTATTGCACCAGGTTGTATCATTTATACCTTATAAAAATGTAGTGAGGCTAGTATTGACTCTTTTTTATAAACTCTGATAAATAAAATTCCTTTCTCAAGTTT